GATATTTATCAGCAACTACCAGGTCCTGGTGTGGGCTAAGCATTCTCACAAGCATCCCTGATGTTAATGCTCACAACTTGGAGTTTTGCATCAGATTGTACTGAGTAATAACTAATAATTATCCATAATATTAATTAAAAGAGTAATTATTATTAATTAAAATAAGAATGAAAAATTAAGTGTTAATCATTCTACAAAAGTGGGCTCAGAAGTTCAGAGAGACAATGTGTGTGAGACGGAGAGAAAGGAAGAGGAGGGAAAAGAGGAGGAGGAGAGAAAGCAAGATGGTGACCAGGTGTGAGTGGTTGAGTATGTGCTATGATTACCATGGTTTCTTGCTAGACTCTTTATGGGGATTATTTCAATGATCCCTCCCAGAAACCCAACCAGGCCAGGACTCTTATTGGAGCCATTTTACATAGAAGGAGGTCAGTAATTAGCCCAAACCAGCTCATATGGGATTACGAATTCAGGAGATCTGACTCCAGTCTTTGAAGTCACTATGCTGTTCTACCTCTCTACAGAGGGACTGCCGGTGTCCTTCCTGGAGTTCTCATCTATTTGGCTAAAGAACCTGAAAATCGAAGCCTTCACTGGTAATGGAGAACTGGAGAAATCCACCAGAACTGTTTCCACATTACACACCACAGATTGCAAGCAAGCCAGTCTCTAGCCTGGAGAACAGCCAGATTCCCTCTACATCCCCGTCCTCTCCAAAAAGTAGCTGTTCACTAAAAATCAAAATGGTGAATCTTTTCTTGACTTACAGCATCTTACAACTATCAACACATGAGAAAAACTCCATGTCTGATTTAATAAAACATACTTTTCTCTTCAAAATATTTTGATAGCACAGATAAAGAGCTGCGTGCTCATTAAAGTTTAATGAGTGTCTCTCCCTGCCATTTTCCACATGAGGATCAGACAGTATGACTCACGCATGGGGGATGCCGGGAGTAGTTAACTGGGAGCACCATTTAACCCAGTCTCAATCTCTGTTTTCACAGGGACACATGCAGCCCCAGACAGGGTCCATTAGGGTATAAGCACATGTCCACTGACCTTCCTGCTTTGAGAGTGACATAGGTTCAGACAGGTGGGAGCAATAGTGCTCTTGGTTGATCTTTATTTGCTCTAAAAAGGGAGGGAGGTAAGGATAGGGGCACACCGGTTGCCAGGCGACTCCAACTGCAAGGCAAAGCTGGGGTCTCCCAGAAGAGGGCAGTGCCTTGGACAGAGGTTTATCTTCATTAGTCTCCTGCTGCCTGCCTGGACTCCATCCAGGGCAGGCCTTCTAGATCTTTCTGTAGACTGCCTACCACTCTCCTTGCTTTTGCTCCCACTTTCTCTAGCCTCTGGGATGGTCTCTGCACCCACGCCTACAGACTGAGATGTTATCTGTTCATTGAGGATTGTCTACTGTTCTACCACCTCGAGTTTTGGTGCCTCGACCTGATGTGATCTCTCCTTCCCAGAACAGCACACACCGTCTGTTAAGGCAGGCACTTTCCACGGAAGTTCTCATGTAAGAGCAATGCAGCCTTGGGGTTATCTGCACAGACTTCCAATCAGAAAGACTCCATTCTTTCCCTGACCAGCACGTTATTATGGGCAAGTCAGTCATGGACAGAATAGTGACCATACTAATGACGGCCACCTGATGCTCGGTGTTTACTGCGTATGGAGCATACAGCTCACAACAACCTATGAGGTGAGTATGGCGATTTGCAGATGAGGAAAAAGAAGCTATGAGAGATTCAGTGATGTGTCAAGGCTCACACACATGAGAAAGTAGGCTTTGATCTCACAGCGTTTGGTCCCAGAACCCACGTTTTTTATCATGATGCTATCACCCACTCGGGGACTCTGTTTTCTCATCTATAAAATGGAGACTGTAATAATGCCCACCTCTAGGATAGTCACATGGACTAACGAAGATAATACCAGAGAAGTACAATAATCGAGAGCTCGGTGGCTTCTAGCTGCTGTCATTGTCATCACCACAGGCTGGTCTCATCCCTCTCCTGCCCCAAAGTGAAGGGTGGGATGGCCAAGTCCTCCTAACACTTTGTCTCTCACACAGCGTCACCCTGTGCCCAGCATTCCTCACAGGGACCTTGAGAGGGTCTGTCCACTGTGGGCCTGACCTAGGCTCAAAGAGATTGACAACGTGTTCTAACGTCTTCCTAGAATTCGGGGACGTGCATCCTAGATAACTGTGGACCCCTTAGCCATTGTGCTTTTCTTCTTTCATGGCCTTCACCCCCTTGCCAACTCCTGCTTTAGACAAGTAATTCAACCCCCCTTCCTGAGGTCTCCTGGGCCAAGGTTCATCATAACCTTCTCTTTCTCCTCTCCTCTCACTTCCTCCTTCCCTCCTCTTCCATCTGCCCCCTTCCCTCTCCCCTTCAACACCTTCCTTCCCTCCTCCCCTCCTCCCCTCCCCCCCCTGCTCCTCTCCCCCCCTTCCTCTTCTCTCTACTCCCCCTGCTTCCCCCTCCTCTACCCTACCCTTCTCTTCCGTTTCCCACTTCCCTACCTTCCTTTTTGTCCCTCCTCTTCCTTCCTCTCCCCTGCTCCTCTTCTCTCCTCCCTTCATCCCTTCCTTCCCCCCCAACTTCCTCTCCTCTCCTCGCCTCTCCTCTCTTCTCCTCTCCTCTCCTCTCCTTACCTCCTCTCCTCTCCTCTCCTCTCACTCTCCCTGTTTCTCCCTTCCCTCCTTTTCTCTATGTCCTCTTTCTCTCTCTCAGTCACTCTCAGGATGATCATAACTTCAGTAGGCCAAGCAGCATCCCAGATCCCTGGCCCTGGAGCCAGAGTTTCTGGAACTAGGGCCTCTACAGCTTGGTGACATCTGGGTGGCTGTTAGGGCCTCTACAGCTTGGTGACATCTGGGTGGCTGTTAGGCTGTGAGGTGTTTTATGAGGAGCATCTCTTCCCTTGCTTGGATTTAGTTAATCTCTGGGGTTGGTATGGTTAATGAGGTTAGTGGTTCAGGGGCAGCTGAGGTGAGGATGTTCCTGCCTCCTTTCCTGAACAAAGAGCACTGGGCAGCAGCCAGGATCTCCATCTCGCTCTGGCTGGAGCCCTGGTCAAATGGCCCCGCCTCTAAGTAAGTTTCCTCCAGGAATAGCATCTCCCATACCTTTATGGAAATAAAAATTAAAAAACAAAAAACCCATAACTCTCTTAAAGGACGCTGCTGTTTCCCGGGTCACTCCACTTGTGGCCAAGGGAATTTCCACTCTGCCCCAGGGGAATTTCACTGCTCTTTAGGTAAAGCCAGAAGACAACCAACAAATAATCTTTCACATTAATGATATCTCAAAGATGAAAGGTATTAGTTTCCTTTATACATCCAGTTTATTGTCAGTGGTGCAATTAAATTCTATCCTATGCTGTGGCTGGAGCATCCCACAGCTTGGAGGGGCTCTCTCCTGAGACCTTCACAGGGACAGCGCATTGGTTCTTAATGAAGTGGGCCCCACCTCTGGTGGGACAGGTCTCCCAGGGAGCACCTGCCATTGTGGAGGGACCCTGGTTACAGGTCGGGCACCTCTCGCTACTGAATGCCCGTTCTCATGGCATTGATGACCCCTCTGGAGGAGCCCTATCCCACCCTCCATTTGCAGCTATTTCCTGTTCTGTCTGAAGACCCTGCCTGACCCCATTTTTCAATTATCTTCTCAGGCCTCTTGTGTGGATGATACTGTCATGGGCTGTGGGCGGTGCCTGAGGGGGAAGGCCTCCTGATGACTTAAGCCTTTCTCAAAATGAAGGACTTGGGCTGTCTGGATGGGCATGGTCTGTCTGTGTTTGTGTAAGCTCTGGCCTGGGGTGACTCGTTCATTACATGGCGGTCCTCTCGTGCCATGTGCACAGCACTAGACCCATTGACGGCTGCCCTGCTGAATGAATTAGCTTTACAAATGATTCACAGCAAAGGATTCATGAGACCCAGGGCTTACTGTCCCCCCACCCCTGCCACCTCTAGGGCCATTTAAGATATGCGCAATTTGGTAAACTTTGATCATTCCTTTAGAAGAATGATGCTTACCATCTGTGCTAATATTTTTAATCACTTTTGGGAAAAAAAAAATTCTCCAGCACCTTGGAGTAAGGCTGACAAAAGGTGCCCTACCCCAAGGACATGGATGGAGACCTGGGTTTCTGCTCACAGGACAGGAAGGTGTCTCAGGATGTGGCTACTTATGGTGCCAATGTTCCTCCAAAGAGGGAGCGAACAGGTTGCCATATTTGTGTTCCATTTCCATCCGTCCTCAGCCCTTCTCTGTTAAGTTACTTTGAACAATTTGGGCAGAGATTTTTGGTGACAAATGGAGTGACAACGTAAGAACTACTAGGCAAACAGGCAAAATAACCATATGGTGATAGAAGTCAGAAAAGTGGTTCTCTTGGTGATGAGGGAAGGGGTTATTGACTGGAAAAGGCATGAGGGAGCTTTCTGGAGTGTTGGGAATCCTCGATGTCTTCATCTGACTGGGAGTTGCCAAGCGTCCACGTATACACAAACCCACTGTCGCCAAGCTGACATCTCAGTGAGTGCCTCCTACTGTATACAGTTAGATCCCAATGAACAAGATTACCGTCCCAAAGGCAGGCAGGACACAATCCCAGTGGTTTCCATTTCTTGCCATGCCTGACCCACTTTATTCTGGAGACACTGACATTCTATCTGCATCCATTACACATCTTTATCTTCCTCCACAAGTATGTTTATACCCACAGGTTATATTTATATCTGCAGCCGCATCTATATATTTAAATCTGGAGAGCAGAGGAAAGTGTTATATGTGTGTGTCTATATATAGGGTAGTTTACTTCTTTCAAAGAACAGGAGGATCTTAGCCCCCCCCCCCCTTTCTTTTTGTTGAGCAGGACACACACACACACACACACACACACACACACACACTAAGTATCCCTGACTGCTTATCAACAACCTTGCTTTCTCCCTTGCCTGAGATGGTGAAACTGACCTTGATGACGAGCTGGGGGATGGTCAGCATGGTGGACTTCTGTTTGGCCAGAACATCCTTCGTCTCGTTGATACGCGCTGTGACGAAGAAATGCAGGTACGCTTGTTCCAGCAGATGGCCCATGTACTCGCCTGCTCTGATCAGCACCTCCTCTTTCTTGACTGGCAGGAGGAGAAACAAACACACAGGGCATCAGGACCTGAGTGAGATCTGCTTGACTTTGCCCAAGTGCCCCGTCCTCTTCCCCATCGGGATTCAAGGGAGCAAAAGGATCTCGGCATCCACCAGACGCACAGCCAAGGTGAGGGACGAAGACTCAATCAAGGACAAAGTCTCCTGCCTCTTGGATAAAACAAGAATGTGCTGGAAATTTAATATTCAAGAAAGCCTTACTAGAGAACGTGTCAGTTTTTCCAAACGGTGCTTTTGCTGTTGTAAAAACGCAAAGCCATGGCAGGCCTATTCAAGATGAAGGACAAAGGGGTTTTAACTGTGGCTGTTTAGACTTGACCAGGGACAATCCTGAGATGACAGATACGGAGCTGTGAAACCCAGGGCCACCAGTCCATGCCCTGCCCCCTTGTGCAACAAGAAACCTCTCCCAGGCCATAGGCCACCCTTGAGCAGAACTGTCAACTACCTGAACCTTCTCCTTACAGCTCTTCAGCTTTTCTTTCCAGCTTTTTCTGTACCACTCTTACATGATTTTTCCATCTAAGACAAAGAAGCCTATGAAATCAGTTTTTACCTGAGGCATCCGGCTCTTTCCCATCCCATTCCTATTTGCAACATAGAGGACCTCTGTGCCAAATGCCCGTTTCCTGAAGTCACTGACCTTAGCTTTTCGGTGTTGAGGACAGGCCAGGGAGACTGGCACTTGGAGGCTGGGGAGTGGTCCGGGCTCCCCTCTGTTCACCATCTGGGCTGAGGGCGGGAATGCTATCTTGTGGCTCTAAGTATAACAGAGAGGTCCTGTTCAGCTGCCCTGCCCGCTTTCTCCATCACTCTCATTTCCCACTGCTCGGGATTCGAGAGAGCAAAGAGGCCAACCTGGGCGGTGGTGTAGCACCTGCTGCACCTGCTCAGAGTCAGGAGCTAGTGCGGCGTGGACTGCCAGCCCTGCAGGGCAATGGGTGGTGATGCCTCCATCCCCGTGCCCGGAACATAGGCTCTGCAAATGCTCACAGGATGGAACATCTCCCCTACTGCTTCCCTGCCCCATGTCTGCCTTTGGTCGAAAATTCCTCCTCCCTGTGGACGTTATTAAAGGGAATGACTCCCAGCTTCCGTTGCTTTACGTGAAGGTGCAGGGCATAGTCAGTCCCCAGTGAGCAGTCATGAAATGAGGACAGGATACTGTGTAGGACGAGCCGGGGTACAGGGAAGGCCCCCTGACTTGCTGGCCCACAGGCAAGGGTGCATCAGCACGCTCATCAGCGGCTTCAAAGCCCCTTCACAGATGAATAGGCACTGTGATGTCTCTAGCCTCCAGTGAAGTAGAGTTTAGGAGGCTGGGGTCCAGGCATTATTTTACAGGTTCGCAGCTGACTTTAATGTGCAGCTGGGGTGGGGAGACATTTCTCCAACAACCCAGAGGGCCCCCACAGGATCAGCTCTGTAGAAGCCTTGGTTCATGTAGAAGGTATGGCCCTTCCCATCAAGGAGCTTGCTGCTCAGAATGTGGCCTGCAGACTATCACCTCTGAGTTCATAAGAAATGCAGGTTCTCTGACCCCCCACCCCCACCCCAGCCCCACCCCCCAACTCACTGAACTAGAATCTGCTTTTGAATAAGATACTCGTAGGATGCATATTCAACTTTGAGAAGCTCCCAGATTTAGGAGGACCTTGGCTTGAACTTGGCCCTTGAATTCTGCTTTTTTTTTTTTTTTTTTGAATTCTGCTTTTTTAATGACCCGTTCATATTGCCTTCTTTGGGCCTGATCCTGGAACCTACTTCCTCCATGGCTCCCCTGGAAATTAATTGTCCAGACACATAAGACTCCATCCCTTGACTGGGTACAACCTCAGATGAGCACAAGGGGGCCTGTTTTTCATGCCCCCAGCTCTGGATGGATGGAGTGGCAAATGGTATGCCTTGAAGAACAAGTGTTTTGTCTCCAGCTGTCTCCAGCAATAATAATAATAATAATAATAATAATAATAGGCTTCCTCTGGTTTTTACTGGCAGAGGGCCTGTGTTCAACCACTGAGTTCCTTAAGGCTGGTGAGATATGCCAGACTTCTTCCTACCCATCTTAATGGAGGCTTTTGCTACCTTTATAATGTTGGCACCAGGACAATATTCTCTGGGGTAGAACATTCTCTAAATCATAGCACTAAGGAAACTGGGCTGTGCTTCCAAGCCCAAGAGAACAGTGCTCCTGAAATAGTATGTTATGTAAGTGTTGTGTTTTGCCACTGCACAAGAAATTGTTCTAGATAAAGTTTATTAAACGTGGCAAGAGAAAGAAGAATAGGTTTTCATTCTATGAGTGGTGAAGCTGGGCTCCTGCCAATATCACTTACTGTGTCTGGGGAAAGCCGAGGGAGACACAGACAGGAGCTGCCTCATCTCTTTTTCCAAAAAGCAAAGAAAACTAAATATAGCCAAGTGGAAATGATAGCACCTTTGAAGGTACTGGAAGGTTTAAGTTATTCAAATCTTCCAAGCTGATTCTAGCCCACACATTCTCTTTAATCATCAATCTGGAAAGTATGCCTCCCATTCTACTTGGAAAACTTTCTTTGCAATCGAGCCTCCTAGGAGTGTAGTCTGACCTGCTTGATCAAGGTCTAGAATCAGGTGGCTTTTTGCAACACGTTGTGATTTATTTTATTTTATGATTATTATTATTTTTTTGCAATTTATTTTAGATTGCAGTTTGCAACCTATTGCATACAGTTAAGTCCACCTGGTCACTGTCCCTAGATCAGTGACGGAGAGGGTTAATGTATCATGCCATTCCAGCCCACTAACTCACAGAAGCTCATTTTCTTATTGGATTAGGGAGAAAAGGGGAAGGAGATGGAGAGACAGAACTCTTGTGAGGTGGTACAGGATAGTGCATAGTGAAACCTGAGTTAGATTACAACTCATTTCTGCTCAAAATCCTCTAGCGGCTCCTCTACTCACTTGGAATCAAAGCCTAAGTCCTTACAAGGCCCCACAGTTCTTGATGTGGTCTAAACCATGCACTCTCTCTTGCCACCTTTGCTCCCAACTCTGCTTTCCTTGCTACTCCTTGAACACATCAAACAGGCTCTGGCCTCAGGGCCTTTGCATTTACAGTTTCTTCTGGCTGCAAAGCTTGCTCCTTTCCTTCTGCCAGGTTTCTGTTAAATGTCATCCCATTAGAGAGGTTTTCCCTGATCATTCCACCCCCGCCAACATTCCTTCCTTCCCTCACCCTGTTTTATATTTTTTATTATGTGCATTACTATACTATATGGGACTTTGTTTATTACCCAGCCCCACCTCTTAAGACCACAAACCCCATGAGGGTTGACACTTCTGCTGTGTTCATGGCTGTGTCTCCAGCACCAAACAGCATCTAGATATAAAGCAGCAAATAAAGGTTAGGGGAATGGATCTACAATCCTGTGATGTGGGTGGTATTGTTCCTATGCACAGAAGAGCTCAGATTAGTTAAGGAACTTGCCTTGGGACACACAGCCTGTAGGTGACATAATCACACCTAAAATCTCCATTTGTCTAATTCCAAGTCTCAGTTTCTCTAAACTCCACTGTTTGAATCCTTTATACCGACTACTCTTGTCTTTAAGTATTCCCCTTCCTATCTTGAGGGATAGGAAAAGTGCTAGATCTCTCAGTCCCTCCCCCCCAACCCTAAATGTACCATGATGATTTCCTAATTGTTAGTCATGTGACAGTAGCTCTGGAAATTTGTTGCCCTACGGTTGGGTAGGCTTCTTGGAATTAGGATTCTTAGGAATGTTCCCCATTTTTCTGGGAATATCTTTCTAAAACATTACAAGGGTACTGATTGCAGCTTGGGACAGCCCCCGAAGCCAGAAAGCCTGAAAACCACTGGGATGTGTGAGTCGGTCATCCCCGAGGGCCATATTAGTCTTGCTTGCCTTCACGTTGTGAAACTCGTTATTTGTACACCTTTAAAATTGTTTTCTTTTTCTTTGCCACACGTCAGGCCAACGGAAATCTAGTGCTCTGAAGGGTTGGCCTGGAGACTGGTTTCTCCTGGTTAACTCATTTTACCAGTTGTGTGACCAACCTCTGTGCTCCCTAAATACTTGTACCCCAAGAACTGAGATTGGTCGAAACTGTAATCTCCAAGGTAAGCTGAAGTCTGTCGAGCCCAAGCTTGGTTAAAATATCCTGAAGTTTTACCCTGAAGGAGAGGCTTTGCAAGGGCATGTGTTTGAGGGAGGCTGGACAGGATCAAGGATGAGAAAGAGACCCCATGAGAGGTGGCAGAGAGAACAAAGCCCTTCAGAGGCTCCTGGAAAGCACGCCCCGAGTCTCTAGTCTCTTCTCCCAACGGTGGGCTCTCCCCTGTCCTGATATATCAGCAGATGAGTTTTCAGAAATGGCCTATATACAGAGCTCAGATCTTTTACCTTCTCAATGATAAAACAGAACACATCATTCCTGCTGGGGCAGTCCCCCAAAATGTTACCTGATGTGGGGATAGAGATACCAGCAGGTGGGGTAGGGGGATTGCTTTCTGACACAGGAAAGCATCGCAAACTTTCCTGGGCACTAAAAGCCCCTCGGGATTTTGTTACAATGTAAATCCCGGGTCAACAGATCTGGGGTGGGGGCTGACAGTCTGCATTTCTAACCTGCCCCCCCCACCCCCACTCTGGTTGTCGGTGGGGATTCCGATGTTTCAGGTCCTTGGCCAACACCTGGAGTTGCAAGAAGTTACATTTAATTTTCATGACTCGGGGGGCTCTAGGCCTTGAAAATTTCAGTTTTCACATCTACGCATGAGAGGGGAAGCTGGAATCTGAGGTCCTCTGGCAGAAAGGGGTTCTCCTCTGGGGTTCATATTCCTGAGCTCTGAGGTAGAACTTCAACTTTGACAGGAAGTTATTATTATTTTTTTAAAGATTCACTTATTTATTAGAGAGAGAGAGGGAGAAAGAAGGAGAGAGTGGGGGAATGGGCAGAGGGAGAGAGAGAGAGAATCCTCAAGCAGACTCCTGCTGAGTGCAGAGCCAGAAGCAGGACTCAATCCCATGACCCTGAGATCATGATCTGAGCCTAAACCAAGAGTCAGACGCTTCACCGAATGAGCCACTCAGGCGCCCTGACAGGAAGTTATGAATGAGTGACAGCACCAAGCCGGACAGGGAGGCAGAGAACAAGTTCCCAGGAGAAGAGCCCCCCTCGTTAGCTTACGAGACAAGGGCTCCAGCGTCACTTCGAACGTCTCCTTCTTGAATTCCGTCTTGGAGACCCCCGTGTAGAAGACAATGTTGCCGGAGAGATAGGCTGAGAGGGTGTAACGGTTGGGGCTGTTGTTCTGGAAGGTGATGGTAAGCTTGAAGTCTCTTCCCAGCACAGCATTTTCCACTTCAAAATTCATGGTCACATCAGACCTGGGTTTGAGGATGCCGTCCGTGTTGATGGGCTTTTTAGCCCCATACATCAGGGCAGTTTCCAGGGCCAGTCTCTCCTCTTCTTGGCCTAGGAGAGACTCAGAGATCATGACGGGGGAAAAGAAATGCAATCCGTCCAAGAGAAATTATGAAACACTTGGCGCTCTGGGCACTGTGTGATCTACTCATCCGTTGGCCTCTGTAAGCCACTGACTGCCCTTCGAGACAGGTGTCATCATTATTCTGGGGCTACCAATTCTCCAAAATCAGGTTTTCGGGGAACTATGACCTGCCTGGGCTGCTGAGTGGCATCTCCAGGGCTTATCTGAAAGGGGGATGCTAAGGGGTTGCTCTCGGGGCTGTTTCTCCAGGGAAGCTACTTTGGGGTTCTGTGGGCAGAGTTGGCCCAGTCACACTCTTCTCAAATGGTAGCACCAGTTTGCTTCCCTCCCCAAATCCTAGCTAGAATTTGGGGATCTCTAAGCAAAGATTTTGGCCATAGTTGCATCTTGCTATTCCATATTGTGCTCTACGAGTTTTCTCCTATTCACAGATCTGATAAGACCTGTCTTCTTCGTTGTCTCTCTTTCCATGTGGGCCTGTCCCACTTGCTACTGCTGACCTGACCCCTGGGCAGCTGCTGTACTGCCGCTCTACTCCTTCCCCTATTGCCATTCCCCCCTGACAGAGTGCAGAGATCCTTTTTTTTTTTTTTTTTTGCATATAGTGCACAGCAGCACCATATACTCAGATCTGGCAAGTCATTAACAAGCCTTCCCTGCCAAAGGGCTCTAAGGTCAAGTTCCCTTAGGGAGCACTGGGTTATCTAGCTCCAGATAGATGTTCACTGTCTTGATTCCAGCCTATCAGACGTTCTGAGCCTGAGCCCTACAGTGAGGAATCTTAGTTAATATAAGGCTTCCCAAAACTCATCTGATGCAAAACACGGGTTTTTTTTGTTGTTGTTTGTTTGTTTTGTTTGTTTTTTGTTTTTTGAGGAACAGCTATTGGCATCTGGGGTACACTGAAGTTCTAATGCATTTGGAAATGTGTGTGCTTTTTTAAGGAAAATGTCTTCTGTGGGGTATCCAGGGTGATGGTGGAGGAGATGAAGGTAGGGACAGAAGGAGAAGGGGTGAGCTCTGGAAGAAACAAACAGTAGCTTTGGGCAGGTGTGGAAGCAAGAAATACTGGTACAGGTCAGACCTCAGGGCTTGCTCCTCCTGGCTCCGAGCTAGGCTGACGTTCCTTACAGAGCTCTGGACAAAATGCTCGCTTGAGGGGACAGAGAGAGTCTCTGTTCTTCTTACCACCTGAATACCTTTGGGTACATCTTGGTACATTGTGGAAGACACAGGAAAATTCTTTGACTTGTAAAAACTAGTCATGGGAATGGCTAGCAAAAAAAGAATCACCTGGAAATAAAAGCGCAAGCTTTTAAATTAATTAATTTTAAGATAATGCCTTCTACTTTACTTAGCAATGAACTGCAGGGCAGTTGAGGAAGTCAATTAACAGCAACAGCTATCACTGAGAGCTAACTCTGTGACAGGTATTGTGGTGAAGTGTATACTGGGCATTGTCTCCTTTAATCCTCAGAGAACTCTACAAGGAAGAGGCTATTATTACTATCCATGTCCTTGTTTGTAAAAAAACAAGGGGGGCTACTTACATCAGAAGGCTTTTAGGAGGTCTGGAGGCATGCATAAGAACTGGTACTTTGCAAAGACAGACAGTGCCAGTAGGTCTCGCAAAAAAACGTGAATGTGTGTATGTGTTAATTTCTCTGATTGTCAGGATTGCAAGAATGTGCTAGGAGCAATTGGTCTAGGACAAGCATTGGCTAGAGCACATGTTTATAGATCAATAGGAGGGAGACATTATCTCCCTGTAAAGGGAAGGAGGGGCTATGACAAGGAAAGCTCAGTGAAATATTTTAACAGAAAGCACCTGGCCAACAGCTCCTCTGGAGAGCTTTATTGACGATCGCTTTGGATGGGCACCAGATATGCATTTAGACAAAATGCAGGAGGGGAACACCAGCACCAGGGACCTACCTGGCAGAGAGGTGCCATCCCGGGGGAGAGAGGCCGAGCTGGCCCAGATTGGGGGAAGGGGCAGTGGAAGGCTTGTGGCAAGCCTTGAGACACTTTCTATGGCATCATAGAGGAGCCTCTGGTCTCCTCAAGGGATCAGCTTCCCGTGAGCAGGAGCTGCCTGCCAGTTGTTCCAGGAAGCACAGGCCCAGATAGGAGGCAGGAACATCAGGGTTTCCCCAGAGCTCTGCAGAATTCCCATCTCTCTGCAGCTGTGCTTTACGCTCTGACATCTTACATAATTCAGGGCCATGAATTTAGTGCTGTGGGAGAATGATCCAAAGCCAGATTGTATTTTCTGAGATTCCTCTGCAGCCTCCAGGAGCAAGGTCAAAAGCATCTTTCCATTAACCAAGATGTAATGAAAATGCTCTTTTATGTTTGATAAGCTTCTCATTGTTCAGATTTTTAGCTCAAATGTCACCTTCTCAGAGAGCACCCCCTTCCATCACCCTGTGTAATGTGTCCCCAAGCCTAGTCCTCTCATCTCTTCCTAACACGTTACCTGGTTTTTGTCCTTTTCCCAGCACTTGACACTGCATAACATTATTTTCCTCACTAGAACATATCTCCCTGTCCCCAGGACCTATGACCCAGACTGGCACAGAGGCTTTGAAGGATCAAGGTTTGGAAAAGACTTTGCTTTCATCCAGAGACAGAACTTTCATCTTTATAATGGATATGAAATAGTCTAGTTTTGGGGTATGTGATGTGCATTTAAATTCACCTGTGGAAGTGTCACCTGCATTAGCATTCATTTGACTGTTTGGTGCTGCTGGAGCCACTGTGATGTCCGGGCACTGTGTTAGGCTCAGATGAGAAGCACAAGCCTTCCCTCCCTTGTCTCAGGGACACGCGCAGAGGGATTGCTATGTGTATCCATCACAGATGCCAGGTCAGATGTTTGCATGTGGGGCAGGCAACAGGGGGAGGGACTCAACAGCCCCTAGGGGCAGGGAAGACTTCTCAGAGAGGTTTTTCTCCGAGGCATGAAGGCATGAAGAAAATGGCAGCCTGGCTCTCAGGAGGACCGTGAGTGAGCAGCTTTCCAGGCTGCTGCTTGGGGAGCCTGTGGGTGTGGTCAGGAGGAGGAGCTGGAGGGTCCCAAAAGGCAAACAACAGAGGCTTGGTGAGCTCTGATTGAAGGGCCCTGCAAGGCAACAGAGGAGATCAAGGGCTTTTAAGCAGTATCCTAACAGGCTGAAATTTATATTTTAAATATGTCACTTTGGCAGCAATGCACAGGTTAGACAGAGGGAAAGAGAGGATGTGGCGGGAAGGTAGCCTTGGGAAGTAACCCAAGGTAGCCAGGAGAAAAATACTCATATACTGACAATAGTAGGAGTATTGTAGTAAGAAAAGAATTACTAGCAGGAGCAGAAAGTAACTTTTTCGGACATTTATTTTGTATCAGGTACGATGCTAAGGGCTTTCCACACCTGATACCACTGAATTCTCAGAGTGCCCACGGTATAGAGAGAGAGGAGAGGAGATGAATTTGAACTATTTCAAAGGGGACATTTTCAGGGTTTGCTGCTTGACTGATTCTCGAGTTGGTAAACTTGGGGGGACTGTGGTTCTCTTCACTGGATCCAGTCTGGAGTAGGGGAAAGAGATCCAGGCAAGGGAGGGAGTGAGAAAAGGTGACATCCTAGAAGGGTCGGTTTCGGGTTTTTATAGGAGACTTAGGGGAATGTGAAACTGAACAGAGAAGCTGGGCCAGAGACACCAATGGTTGTGTGTGTGGAGGGGGTGATGAGTAGATATGTGACTCAGACACGGAGAAAGAACATAAAGTGGGTAGGAATGAAGCTTGAGGATTGAGCCTGGAATGAGTACCGTTCAGAGGTGAGGGGAAAAGAGGAGCTTAGAGTTGCAGAAAGGGTTAGTATAAAGAGTCAAGTAGGTTGGGATGGAACCCGGAGGAGTGGTGTCTTAGGAACAAAGAGGAGAGAGAATTTCAAGATTTGAGGGGTTGAGCAGGAGCATCAGAAGGTACGAGAAGGTACGAGGAGCTCAGGCAAGCTGAGATCTGCGAACATTTATTCCACATGGCAATCAGGTGGTGCTGGCAGTTTTGAGAAGAGGAGCTCCAAGGGGCGCCTGGGTGGCTCAGTCAGTTGAGTGTCTGCCTTTGGCTCAGGTCGTGATCCCGGAGTTCCAGGATGGAGCCCTGCTTCCGGCTCCCTGCTCAGCAGGGAGTCTGCTTCTCCCTCTGCCCTTCACCCCGCTCGTGCTCTCTCTCACTCTCTCTCTCAAATAATAAAAATAAACAAGACCTTCCAAAAAAGAAGAAGAAGAAGAAAAAGAAGAGGAAGAAGAGGAAGAAGAGGAAGAAGAAGAAGGAGAAGGAGAAGAAGGAGAAGAAGAAGGAGGAGGAGGAGGAGGAGGAGAAAGAGAAGAAGAAGAAGGGCTTCAGGGATCTGGGGCTGGGAGCAGAATGCAGGGGATGGTAGGTGAGAAAGGAAAGGAAAAGGCACATAATGGGCTGCTAAGGACAGGAAGCTCTTTCAAGATGCCTGGCCGTGGAGAATAGCGGGAAGAAAGAATGGGGCATGTTTGGTGGGGAATATATTGCTGAAAAAAGGTTGCCTATTTTTTTTTTTTAAACACAGGTGACACCAGATCCTGCTTAAATGCAAATGAGAAGGAGCTAATAGGGAAGGAGACATGGAAATACAAGTGACAGAGGGAGTGATTGATGGAACAAAGAGGAAATGGGATCCAGATACCATCATAAAAGAAGACAGATGGCCGCAGAAGTTTTAAGAATTCTGGTTTTCAAAATTTTATAGTTTCCTTATCTTACATATTTGAAAAAAAAGTGTAAAATTAATATTAAGCTTTAGTTCATCCACATGAAAAATGATCTTTTCACGATTTAGTTAATTAAAATAGTTAATCCCTGAATCTGGTAATAATTTCTTCTCTATGTTTTTATTCATCTCCACATTTTAGTGGCCACATTCAGCATTTATGATTAGAGAAATTATATGAGAGATTCAATAATGAGAATCAGAGTGACAAATGTGTGACCAAGGATGCCCGCAGCCTTTCCTAGGCGCCTGTGGCAATGTCTATGATCGCTCAGTCGGTCCCACCAGATTCAGGCGTGGTCTCTGAATCCTTCTGTAAAGTAGCTCCCCATTTGGTCATTCCTAAGGTCAGAATTTAAAATGCAGCTCCCATTCTTGATTAAGAGGCCAATTAACCTCTTGGGATCAAACTCTAGCCCAGAAGCCAGGTGGGGTGTCTCATAACTATCTATGCAGATTTAGGGATTCTTTTGCTTGGACTAGACCCCCATACTGTCTACCACCCTGAGCCTTGTCTTCTTGTCAAACTCTGGAAGCCTGTACCTCAGCTATCTTCCTCATCTGGAGTGGGCACATGTTACTTCTTTTTATTTATTTATTTATTTATTTTTTAATTTTTTTTACATGTTACTTCTTTTAATCTGGTGTCCAGCCCTGGTCTAGCTCCAACTCCTCTTCTGTTGGACTGGACTTTGGTCCTTTCTCTTTTGACATCTGACCCTGATTCGGTCTTCACTGTCACCTCCACGGATGACAGCTGATGACAATGGCACTCTGCTGTGTGGTTTAGAAGAGTCAACTGGTTGTCTGGATGGCTCCCTGTAGGGCCATGGCTTTTTCTCTACACTGTCTGTTCAAGACTTCTTCCACATCAGTTTATCCACAATCCCTGATGGGCTGCCTCTTCCTGAAGAAGTCTCCCCTCGTAGTGTTTGACCTGGCCAGTTAGTTCCTGTTTCTTCTTCTGTCTCAGTGAGCCCATCACTAATGTCCTTCAGGATCCCAAGTCTGATTTGGAAACTCCCTTCTCTGTGCCCTGTTCTGGGCACCTGCTGCACAGCATGGTGAGGGCTTGGTTCCTGATCATCTGTCCAGCTAGATGAGAAAACAGGTCTGTGTGTCTCATCCCTATACAACAGTGCTGGGAATATGGTGGGTGGTTAAGAGCAAGTTGTTGAATGGATGAATGAATAGATTATGGAATGTTGCAGCTAGTTTCTTTCTCTCTCTTTTTTTAAGATTTTATTTATTTATTTATTTTTTGTTAGAGAGAGATAGAGCATGCACAAGCAAGGGGAGTAGCAGGCAGAGAGAAACAGGCTCCCCACGAGCAGGAAGCCCGATGCGAAACTCTCCCAGGATCCTGGGATCATAACCTGAGTGGAAGTTAGTGCTTAACCGATTGAGCCACCCAGGTATCCCTCTTTCTCTTTTTCTATGGACTTTTATTTTTCCTTTTCAAACCTTTTTGCCCATAACTCTACAACAAGAGGACATTACTTGTTTGCTTTATTGTACTTATGGGTTTTTAAACTCTCATTTCAGGAAAAAGCCAAAAAGGAAAAAAAAAAAAAAACAACCCCACATTTGTATCTATGTTGTGCAATGGATGATAACCACTAGAAGAAAAGAATGAACCATTTCAGAAATACAGCAAAAATTCACTAGTTCAGGTGGCAAAAATCCTGAATTTCTAATACAATGCGTGAGAATTCTCAATTCAGCAAACTTTCTCTTTATAGTGCAAATTGCTTTTTTAAATAAGAGCTGAGAGACTATCTAAAATATTTAAAACAAATTCTGCCCTCCTTAGCACTTCAGGAATACTGATGAATATTTAGGTATATGCTAAATACTTGTCATTTCTCTCCATTCACTAAAATAAATGCCACTCCTAAGAACCTCCGCTGGTGAATCATTTGTAAAATATACTCCACATTCCCCATCAAGAAACCTAAACTCCTCTAACTCCTGTCCACTACCGACCTTGGGCAGCTTTGCCTCTAGCCACTGGCACTCTGAGCTTGATGTTTTTAGAACCCTAAACACACCGACTAACTCACACCTCCCAGATGCCTTTGGTCGTGTTCCCAGTGCCTGGAAGCGCCCATCTAGATTTCTTTAATTGTGACCTGTGATTTCTCTCACTCTGCTCTGCTTTTTCTGAATCTTCTGGCTGGACTGAGTGTCTTTCTTTTTTGCTCCCCAAACCCTCCACATGATGATCCTATCACTTTTCCAGGAACAGAAACTGAATCCTGCTCACCATGGGGATCCCTGGCACCAAATGTAATTCCAGACATTAGAGTAGGTGCCTGGTACTGACTGAAATGGCTTTGAACTCCAGAGCTCCCTTGGAAGCTCCCAATAAACACTATTAACATTAACGTTATTTTATGATTGAAATGCGACTTTGACCTAATGGACCTGAATTACTGAGACCACACTTCCTGTTGATATTGTATTATCTATCTCAAGGGGCTTCCATGATAATTCAACGGAACAATGCATGTAAAAATAGTTTGTTAAGTATTAAACAGCTGTGAACGGTTGTTTAAATTTCTATTATTGAACTAAAATCACATCAGTTGCACAGTGTTTTCTATTATTGGAAGTTAAGATTCTTCCATGTTTTTGTGGGCAAGAACTAGATTCTGTTAAAAAAGACATGACTTTAAAGAAGATTGTCTTCACAAGTGATGCAAAGGGGAATTCTGCTCAGAGCAAATCAAGAAAACTACAAGGAGAAATTGTGGGTGTGAGGTGTCTCCCTCATGAAAGTTTAGGGTATTTTCTCCAGAACACATTTCATAGTGACAGTAAGTAAGTATTAAACAAACTTGGGCAAAGAAATCTTCATTCAGGGGCATTAAGTTACCTTCTTGGAACTTGTAGGTATCAGTAATATCCTTTATGCCATCTCCTCCAATTTCTTTGGTCACGATCAATTTCCCAATGTGAGTGGTATCAACAGCTTCAACCACATGAGTGCCATCTTTCTTGGCTGTAACGTAAATGAGATCACTGTTGACCTAAAAACAGGAGAAGAGAGCGTTAGCTACCCTCTGAAGTCCTTGTCATCAAAATCTCTCCGTGGTGTACCGTCCGGGATCCCTAGAGTGGACATGTTCTTCTCTTAACAACATTGGATTCACAGGGCTGAATTTGTTTTAAAATGAACCTGAAGGACAAGCTAGCTTATTTTAGTCATCAGACATTATAAATGAAGAGTATTTGGATATTGATTGTTTAAACATCATTCACTCTTTCTCCCATTTTTCTTGTTGGTGAATTCTACCTCTTCAGAAAGGAGCCCAAACCATCACACCCGTTATTCACTTTCCCAGACTGCTCTTAATCTGGCCGTGGTTTTGTGACCTCCTTCTGGGAAGAAGAGGAAGTCTGCTGGGTGGCTTCTTGGAAGGATTCTTCTCTGTTATAAAATGAGAGGGTTTGCCCTTCCCTTCCTGCTTTTCAATGTTTTCACCTGAAGTGAGGTGATGCTTGGACCTTCTGTAGCCACCCTGGGACAGTGAAGAGAAATACTGCCAACAGTACAAAGATGGCCGTGTGGAGAGATAAGAGGCATGTGAGGACTTAACAATGCTGTACAATAAGTACCTGGGGTGGGGGGGATGCTGAAGATATTGCGAGAGAACCTGGGGCAGTGGAGTGGGGTGGGGCAGGGTGGGAGGGTGGTGAGGAAGTAACAGCCAAGTTGAAAGTTGGAAGATGCATGGGAGTCAGCGAACTAAAGAAACTCATGTTACTTGTTCTTACCAACCAACCCACAGAAGCTCACGAAAGAACACAAGGAAATTTGTGGAGGTCAGGGCCATGCCTATTTCCTTCATTGTGGGGAAGATGTCACAGGTGTATGCATATGTCCAAACCCATCAAGATATATCTATTAAATATGTACAATAGTTTACATTAATCATACCCTGTTAAAGCTAAAAGGAATAAAGAAAAAAAAATGGAAAGAGGAAGGTGGTGACAGGCAGAGGGATTGCCCCAGCCCCAGTTCTGAGAGGGTGGATCAGGGCCACTCTGGATTAGCTGCAAGAACCTTGGGTTCTGATCTTGAATGTGTACTTTTGGAAAACTACTTTATCCTCTCTGAACTTCAGTTCCTTCTTCTATAAAATGAAAATGGTTATACTTGTTCTGCCAATCTCATAGTAACACGTTAGTGAGACAGCACCGAGCGAGCTATGATCTATGTGAGCATGACTTGTAAACTTTAAAACTGAGTGAAAACGTAATGGTTTTTATTAGGTAAGGGGGAACTTGATAAAACCTGAACTTTCAAAGTTGAGGTTACAAAGAGCAACTTTTCTCTACTTTCTCACAAAACGTTCTGAATTTACATGGACTCTGACCTCTACTGAGGTGAAAGCAAGTAGCCGACATTTACTGAACAGCCACAAGGTTTCAGGGACACTTACAAATTATTTAATCTAAACCTCACAGCAATAACCACCTGTGAGGTATGTATTCTTATCCCTGTTTTAGAGATGAGTGTGCCAAGTGGGTTAAGAACGGTCAGCAAAGTGTTGGTGGTCCCATAGCTGTGAGCTGCTAGAGAAGGAAACCCTGGGCTAGCCCATAGCCTGTTCCCTGACCTTCACCCTGGGCTGGCCCATTCTCTGACCTGCACTGTGCATTGCCTCTCCCATACAACCCTACTGCACCACAAGGACTGCCATGAGGTGGGGAGATGGTTTCATGCTTGGGGTACAAGTGGTCCCATGCATGCGGCACAGATATTTGAAGGATGATAAATAGTGACCTCATTCTTCAGCAGAATAATCCTGGCTTTGTGGCACTAGCCATAGGATGTGCAAGACCAAAATATGAATTTAGGAATCAGGATAGGCCGTGATAGGGTAGACATCAGGGATATTTGTCATTTTGAGGGGGAAAAAAAAAAAAAAGTAAAGCTTCCCGAGGATTTTGGCTTTCCCTCTGGAGAAGGCCATGGGAGCACAAACAGCCTCCTCATTCACTTGCAAATTATAGCAACCGTGCTGATAAATATCCTCTTAATAAGCACCCTTACCGCAGTTTACAGTTTTCCAGGGAGATGAGGCTAAAATGAAAGTGGCTAAATCATCGTCTTCCCTTGAACATAGAGCTTAGGAAATTTACTTGGGCTAAAATCTCTGGCCAGCCCAGCAGCACAGTCCCTTGTGGAGACAGGCTAGGAGAAACCCACATATGAAATGGCTATTGCATTTGTACGTCATGGGGGTGTGGAGAGAAAGTATTCTTTCCGATCAACATTAGCAAACTTTCTTTTCAGTTTCAGCTGCCAGGGCAATGGTCTTCCAACCTGGCTGTGTATGAGCCACTGAGGGCTTAAAAGAGTAACGGTGCTAGGCCCCCAGCCAAAGCCAACTACATGTCAATGGCAGACAGTAAGTGCAGGTGATGCTGGAAAGAATATTGGATCTATATTGGATCTATACTCTGTGACTTTGGGCAAGACTCAATGTGTCTCAGCTTGGGTTTAATAATGCCATTCTTGCAGGGTGGAAAGCTAGTACTGCTGGAAAAAGCCCTATGTTGAAGGCTAACTTCTTTTGAAGAAAAGGAGTCTTAATGGCCATCTAGTCCTACCCCTATGCTTGAGGGGACTGTGGGCATGCAGAACCTGGGCATCCCAGCATGGAATCTGTGCCCACCACACCTTTGTCTCTTTGTCAGACATAGGAACTAAGCCTCTGCTCAGGTACTTACTGAGCTCCAGAGTCCCAGCAAAGGTGGACTGGGGTTGCAAGCTGAGGGTCCCCTCTCTACAGAGTTCAGCGTGTACCCCTGGAATGTAAGCTTATGTCTACTGCTGGCAGAAGGTATGCTCGTGACCACTAAGGATGAAAACCCTTTTTACAGGATGCAGCAAGATTTGTTTTGCTCCTTTGTTCCCAAGTATAGATAGCTACAAAAATAGGCTGTGGAGAGAAAGTGGTGCTCCTCTGAGAGTGCATGGAGGCAGTGGGTCCATGAACCTGGTCCATGAGCCTTCTGGCACAACTGCCATCCTTCTACTCTGTGCTTGCCATTCCTTCAGCCTGTAGATGCTGGCTATGAGGTCAGACCCCTGTGTGTGTTCCCTGCTGCTTTGTCCCTGTGCCTTGCCTCCCACCAGGATTGCCAACTCTGAGGGCACCATTGGGATCCTATCCTAATCTCTGAGATTCTGTTCTTAGCAGGGTCCTCTGCATCTGCTTTTGTTTGCTTGCTTGCTTCATTCAGCCATCCACCCATCATTCATTCATTCAACAAGTACATATCTATGACTACTTTGTGCCAGAACTTGCTTTCAGTGATGACAATACTTTACAGAGATTATGTTCTAGAAAGGAGAGAAATAATAACACTAAGGCAGGGTAGAAAGATAAAAGCAACGGGTCAGGAAGTGAGATTTTAGGTGGGGGTGGGATAGCGTGAGTTAAGGCCTCTTTGAGGAGATGACCTGAGCAGAGACTTGGATGCAAGGAGGGGTCAGGAGTACAAAGTGTGGTGGAGGGTAGGGGAGAGCTTTTCCAGAAAAAGGAACAGTATATATAAGGGCTCAGAAACAAGAGTATGTCTACATGTTGCCAGAAGGGCAAGGTCAGTATGACTGGCGGGAAATGAGCAAGGGAGGAGATGGAAAGAAAGCCAGGGGCCAGATCACATAGAATCTTGTAAAGACTTGTGATCAGTGTTATTTTAAGGGTGGTGGAAATCCACTAGAAAGTTGGGGGCAAGAGAATAATATGTTTTATTTACATTTTTAAAGGATAATTCTGGCTAGTTTGTGGAGAACAGATAGGAAAAGCCTCAGAGAAGAGAAGGGAGGTGGGCTAGGAATCAAGTTCATAGAGCTCAGAGTTGTACAGAGTTCAAAGGAGAATAATCAGCATCGCAGACTTGGTTGGATGCGTGTTATTTTTAGAAGGCATTTCTTTTTTTTTAAATTAACATATAATGTATTATTTGTTTCAGGGGTACAGGTCTGTGATTCATCAGTCTCACCATAGCATACATGGTCCCCAAAGTCCATCATCCAACCACCCCATCCCTCACACCCCCTCCACTCCAGCAACCCTCAGTTTGTTTCCTGAGATTTAGAGTCCTTTATGGTTTGTCTTCCTTCCTGGTTTCATCTTGTTTCATTTTTCCCTCCCTTCCCCTATGATCCTCTACCTTGTTTCTCAAATTCCTCATATCAGTGAGATCATATGATAATTCTCTTTCTCTGATTGACTTATTCTGCTTAGCATAATACCCTCTAGTTCTATCCACGTTGTTGCAAAGGGCAATATTTGGGGTTTTTTGATGACTGCATAGTATTCCATTATATACATATATCCTAGATCTTCTTTATCCATTCATCTGTTGATGGACATCTAGGTTCTTTCCATAGTTCAGCTATTATGGACATTGTTGCTATGAACATTGGGGTGCACGTGCCCCTTCAGATCACTACATTTGTATCTTTGGTGTAAATACCAGGAGTGCAATTCTGGGTCATAGGGTAGCTCTATTATCAACTTTTTGAGGAACCTCCATGCTGTTTTCCAGAGTGGCTGCACCAGCTTGCATTCCCACCAACAGTGTAGGAGGTATATACCCTTAGAAGGTATTTCTGGCAAGATGCATGAAGAAGATTAAGAAGAGAAGCCAAACTGATTCTAAAATCATATACATTATTTGAATAAATGGATGAACTATTTTAGATCAGAATAGGAGCCTCCCAAATGGGCTAACAAGTGGTAGCAAAATAACCTTGAATTGAGAAGGAAGCATCTATACCATTGGTATCCACAGTACCTCTGGCCCAGATCAAGGGAAATTGCTATGTAGCTTCTGAGCAATGGAGCAGTTACTGTGGCCTGGGGGATCAGTCATCCTTGCTGCAGAAATCATCTCAGGAACAGGGAGGGAAGGAGGAGTGGGCATGTGCTCGAGTGTGCATGTATGTGCAGTTTTGGGGTGGGCTGGTACGAAGAGGAGGACAGAGCCAATGAGAGGAAGCTAAAATCAAGTGAACACGGGAACTCATGAGATGACTCCACAGCTTAGCACTGTTCTGCTCTCTCCTCTCCCCCTTTAGAAGCCAACGGCCACCATTAGTTGGGGAAAGAAAAGGCAGATGGGCTTCCAGAAGGAGGTCCTCTCCATGGCACTGAGGGCATGAGAAAGGAGGAATTAGAGAAATAAGCGTCAAGCCCTGGAAACAATCTAAAAATGTGAAGAATGCATTTTTAAAAGAGAGGAGGAGAGGAAATGGGGCAGAGATAGGATGCTTCCCATGTACCTGCCTCTTTTTTTTTTAATTTTTAATTTTTTAATATGAGTCTAGTGGATACACAATGTTACATAAGTTTCAGGTGTACAACATAGTGATTCAACTTCTCTATGCTGTGCTCACGGCAAGTGTAGCTACCATCTGTCACCGCACAACACGATTACAACATCATTGACTATATTCCCTATGCTGTGCCTTTCATCCCCGTGGCTTATTCTATAACTGGAAGCCTACATCCTCTGCTCCCCTTCACTTCTTATTTTGGATTTTGCTTTCACTAAAGGATATCATGGCTCTGAGATGATCAAAAAACGTCAGTGAACATGATGTTTAATCCAGCCCGGAAGTGAGTAAGGGATGACCAGTGAGAGGCAAGAAAAGGCACACTGGGCTGCCTGCCTGGGGTGTGACAGGCAGGCTTACGCAGCCAGAGTATGGAGCAGGAAAGGGAGGATGCCATCTGAACCTGAGTCATGGACATTCTCATTAAAGTTAAATACGACGCCCCCCATGTGGTCCTACTTTGGGCACCCTTGAGAAAAGATTCCTCATACACTTTCAACAGCTTGAGCATCTCTTATAAATGGCTCAGCCCCAGGGCTCAGTCCGTGCCAAAGCAGCAAATCGTACGCTCTGTCAGACAAGGCTGCAGTGGCTGAGAGAGGAGTAATTATAATCTGCGAATCCTGATGACATGCATAACACCCCGATCTATATTTAATAATAGCAAAAAGCGTTTGCATTAACAGCTATTAGGCAATTCACTCTTGGAAGGCGGTTGCTCCCTCTTTCTCTGCAGCAACAAAGCATAATAAAAATATAAGAAACGTGGCTCTGTGAATATTAGAGTGATTTCCCATTAAGAGGTTCTCCTAGCATCATAAACTATCAGCTGGCAGCTGGGGAGGTTGGATAAATCTCCAAATCCCGAAGTGAAATCGAGGGGGATGAAATTCGAAATACAGTCTGCCTGTTTTCCCCAGGCTTCTAGCAACTGCAATGGAAGTCTCCATGTAAGAAATACTGTCCCCCCTGGGGGGAGGGGTCTTGGGGGGTGGGGTTATTATGGACATTGGGGAGGATATGTGCTATGGTGAGTGCTGTGAAGTGTGTAAACCTGGCGATTCACAGACCTGTACCCCTAGGGAAAAAATATATTATATGTTTATAAAAAATAAAATTAAAAAAAGAAAAAAAAAAGAAATACTGTCCCCTTTGTGTATTCAAATTCCTGATCTTGCTGTCTGAATATTCGCGGTAATTTTACTTCCTAAACATTTCCGGATGCTCCCTCCTCCTTCCCGCCTCTTGCCATTTGGGGAGCTCAGGCCCTGCCCTCTCGGGTGGGTGTGGGGCAAGCACAGGCTTCCCCCTGACCTCCCCACTGGGGCCACCTCTTTCAAGTCCCAGCTCCACTGGACTCAAGTTACTTCTGCCCGCATCTTCTATACCCCGGATATGCCACCTTCCGTGAGCCTGCACAACTTGTCATTTCCCTCACACACCATTCAGAGGCTCAGACTGTCCCCTCTGCCTCAGTTTCTTTCCTTCCTCCGGCTTCTTTCTTACCCACTTGGACTGAATAACTCCAAACTCTCCCTCGAGACACAGCTGAGGCACTAATCCCTTCAAGGAGCCTCCCTGTCCCTCTCTCCATGTGCTCCCACAGTGCTCCTGTCCTGTGGCTCTCACACAGGTGTCCTTATCGTCCGTCCTCATGTCATCCTCCCTGCCTGTTGGTGTCTTATAGCCTTTACTGTCCCACTCAGTTCCTGACCCGGGTTCCTCAATTAACAAATCTGTATGTATTAAATGCAGATCATTCTTCACCTACACGGCTCATCTGACAACTAGCTCCACAGAACCTCATGTACTACTGTTATTTAACCTTTAGTGTGCTATGTATTGCCACCTCCCACCAAGAATCTAATTTTTTTTTAAAGATTTTTTTATATATTTGAGAGTGAGAGCACCAGGGGGAGGAGCAGAGGCGGAGAGAATCTCAAGCAGATTCCCGTTGAACGCAGAGCCTGTCCAGGGGCTCCACCATCCAAAACCAAGAGTCAGAGGTTTAATGGACCGGGCCATCCAGGCGGCCCAAGAATCTAGTTTCGTAAGGGCATAGGATTCTGAGTTCCCTACAGGAGAGTGTCCACCACATATTTATAATAGGGATTTATCTGTCCCAGTGTAGTAGTAGAGTGTGGCGGTTACTGACATGAGTTTCATTCAGTCCCTGCCTGGCTTTAGATCTTAGCATGACTGTTTATTTAGTTCAATGAGTGTGGACAGGTTATTAACCACTCTGCCTCAATTTTCCTTTCTGTAAAAAGGGAAGAATCATAATACCAATTTTGAAGGGTGGCTAAGAGTCTCAAACAGTAGGCATAGTGATTACACAGTAACTATTCTGTATACAACTGACATTACTTCAGTGTGTTTATTGGTGAAATTGTACTCTGGGTAAAACTTGCCTCTTAGCCTCTGACATATTTCTCTGCTCTTCACCGCCTGCCCTCAGCCTTCCAGCCTCCCAGCCTTCTTCTTTACCAATACCCTTTATATTTAATTTGATTTTTAGAGATGTCCTTGGTGTATTCTCTTCCTCATCTACAATCAACCCATGAAGTATGCTGCCTTCTAGCTGTCATTCCCTCCCTTCCCTAGTTCAGCAGCTCTGCTTTCCCTCCCCAGTGATGGATGGCGTGGAGTGGCAGGAACTGGGCTGCAGTTCCCAGACTAAGACCCTCATTGGGGTGTGTCTGGATTTTGTTTTTATGTGAACTGCTATGTTAGTGTTGGAGTAAACTAATATTCTCTAGAAATTTCAATTCATGGACCGTCTCCACCAATTTTTAGTTGAGGGATTCATTTAGCCACTTAATTTCTCAGGAGCAGTTGGTATCTATTTCATGGGTGCGAAGAACTCAGCTAAGGTTAGTAACACAATTGCTTTTCAAGGAGAAAATCTCAAAACATCAAGGAGAGAAAAATGTTAAGTAAGAATTACATTTAGAATTAAGAGCCTTGAGGTTGGAATGATGTTTAGTCGACTTTGTAGACATGAAACACATGCCACGGACTTGGGAAATTTAGAAGTCACAACCTGATGTCTTATTTTTCAAGTGTTTAGAGGTTGGGGAAGAAAGTGGTGCTTCTCTCCAGCTTACTACTTACCTCTGCGAAAACAAAGGGTGCATCAAACTGGAAGCAAATATGGCCATGCTTAATGGCTTGAACAGAGGCTGGGCCACACCTATACATCCCTGCATCACACAAAGGAAGGGAAATGTGAGTTTGTCATCTCCAGTTCTGTCCAGATACAGATACAGGCTCTGTAGAGGCAAGTGTTCCCAACTTCAACATTGATATAGCCCCAATGCTTCCCATGGCCAGAGACGGCCAATGACCAATGTGTGTCATCAAGAGGGCTTCATTGAAAATGCCTCCTCAAACCAAAATACAGGGCATGACGATGTCTGTGTCTGGTCTCCCACCTGGAACACATAACTTTAGACGCTTGTGCTGATGCTGAGCAGTTTGCTTACAGAGGACTGATCCATTTCCCACAGGTAATGGAATGCTGGAGATGATAATGTGTCCCCAGTGATTGTGTTAATTGTTTGTTTTGATTTTTGTGTTTTGTTTTTGGACATTATGGATGGATGTCAAGTGTTAAATTGGGGAATCTGGACATCGATCAATGCCCAACATGCATTAAGCAAGTCAGTAGGCACATGATTACTTTTATAAAGTTCTTTACATTTTAACCAGCTATCTTTGGTTAATAAGAGATTAACTGCCATTCGTCATCTCTGACGTCTCCTCATGATACATAATTGAGAACAGAGAAAGTGTTGAACATTCTCCCTCAAAATCCAGCATAAATAAATCATGAGTCCCTTATGAATAAGTTATGAATATCTATGGATATATGCGTATATATACACACACGTCAATATCTCATATCAACACCTGAGGAAGTAAACATAATGTCCCCAGGCCACTGATTTTTATCATCCTATTAAAGAGAAATGGAGGCCTGTGATGTGATTTTATAAAAATCTGGGGGAGGTCATAGCTGCCACTCATTGCTTAGCATAGACTGCAAGTTAGGTGATAAATACCCACATACTTAGGTTTTGGAAGAAATCACACAACATAAAAAGAAATCAGGTTCTGGAAAAACAACTAGATCTGTAACTATATTTTGAGTTCTTTATTTTCTCTACTGTCTTATAGCTTATCACTGTGCATCACAGAGGGCCAAGGTATATTTTAGAGCCTAGTAAAAGTGCCTACATGGACATTTTTCTCTTGTCTTCAAAACTGCTTATCAAAGCAAGAGTAGATGAATTATATATGTTAAGTTTTATGAGCTTTTTTTTTTTTTTTTACCAGTTATAGAATAATCAGGGGAAAGCCGACCATTGAGATGAAATTAAACTGATTGACAGGCTGTTAATACTGTACATGGGCCCAGGAAGCATGCTTTTGATGTTGGTTCCCAGTGGGAGTGTTGCCCACACATCAAATGCAACCCTAAGAGCAAAAGAAAGATCGCCGTGAAACGAGTTCCCGGAGGGAGGATGCAATTTTACCATCGCTGTTTTCTTGCGGGGTGCTGTCCACAGCTTGCCACCCTCCAAATCCAACGGGAAGATCGGGTCTTGTCATCCAGGCTTCATTCCAGCAGTGGTAGTTCCTGAGAAAACACCACCCCAAGAAGATTAAACTTCCCGTTCCAGTCAACGCCCCAAGAAATCAAAAGGTGTCCAGAATTCCTGTGAGTACACTACCTACAAGTTGCTGGAATGGAAGAAAAAAAAACTAAATTGAAGTCTCGCCAGAGATGTCCTGGACTTGAGTTTGCTGGACAGATGCATTCTCATTGGCACCCTTGAGGGGGCATCAGGTAGCTGGATTTCTCTTCCCTGCTAATATCAGTTTCAAGGCCACCCAGTACACGAAACAGTTTTGGTCTTAACCATCCTTTGCTGCCTAATGAAACAGAGCATACTATGTGCTAAAAGGGTAGAAAAGAAAAGTTAATACTATGTGCTAAAAGGATAGAAAAGAAAAGTTAATTGAAACCGAAATACATATATCTTTGCATTTCTTTTGTATTTATGTTTATATTTATGCATACTAGATTTATAAGAAGCAGATCTCTTGTAACAATTAAGCAATAAAATGCTTGTGTTTATGGGCTTAGGCTGTTGCCATAGAAACTATAATGTTAACTCCTGACTATAATTGTCTCTAATTTGGGCAAATTTCCATTTGGTGTCCAAGAAGAAAAGGGTGTCAGGGTGAGTGTCTCTTTACCCTTTATCAAAGGTAGGCAACCCACAAGCCAAAACTTTACAGAACTTTGCATATGACCCTTGAGGCAAGAGCATGGAATAAAATGTCATCATGAATTGTATTATGATGTCCTTGGAAAGACCTGAAATTATATGACAGTACAGAAACCAATGAAAGCACATTAAGCCGTCTGTGCTATAGAAAATATTCATCTAGTAATAACGATTTAACAGTGGGGAGAAGTAGTTACAGCAGTCTTTGTCTATAGCATGGATGAATTTCAGTTCCCGCTACCATTCATCCTTTACTTAAGTGTCCTTCAATGTCAGGAATTTGTACATGTTCCCATCTCTGAGTTTGGCTCCTCTTTGATTGGCTCAATTTGGAGGTACTAATTTCACTGTGTACCCTTTATGTACCAGGCTAGGTGCTGGGGATGCGAGACTGACCGACACGTAGGTTCTTGCCCACAGAGACCCTCGTGATCTAGGAGGAATGATGAAAAGGTAAACCAATCCTTACAACATTTCATAGCTTTGCTGTGAGGCGTAAGCAAGATAATGGGTATAAAGCACTTAGAATAGGACCTGGCATGTGATAAGTGCTCAAAAATAGTTAAGTCTCAGACTTTTAAAAATAATTTATAGATGTGATGCACTGGAAATTCATTTGGGGTACAGCGGGGTCTCCATAGGGGAAACCCTTAGGGTATGAAGAAAAGTTTCACAGCAAAAGTGATATTTGAGCTAAGTCCTGGGGAATGTGGGAGTTTGGAAAGTCAACAAGAGAAGCAAAAACAAAATTGTAGAGGCATGAAATAGCCCACATGGTGTGTTTGGGGGATGGCACGCTGTTCGTCGTGGTGTGAGGGCAGCATGCTTGCATATTTGTGTGCATGGGGGAGAGGGGTGGCTGGTAAGGGTGGGCAGGGAATCACAAAACTAACAAAAATGCACAGCACTTACTGTGTGCCAGGCACTGTTCTAAAACTTTTATGTATATTAGCACACCTGACGTTCTGGTACCCTATTAGAAAGATACTACTATTATTATCTCCAGTTTGCAGGGGAAGCCCAGAGAGGTTAAGAATCTTGCTTGAGGTCACAGAGTTGGTTAGTGACAGAGCTCCAGGGCTCAAGCTCTTAAACAATGAACTGTGCTATAAAGGAGGATGAAACTGTGAAATCCTTTTATCCCAGATCAAATGATTAGACTCCATTCTTGGGCAAGTTAGATTTGCAAATCTGTCTTTGTGGAAGATGGGTGGGGAGGCAGGATGGGCCTTGGAGCTGAGGTGACTTCCACTCCCGTGGGGATGACTGGGAGCCATCAGCGGGTACAGGCATGTGGAGATGAGAGAGCTGGGTGAGTGGAGGAAGACTTTCATGTTTCCAGGGAATATGATGGTTCCATTGACCAAGACTGAATGAAGGAGGAAGGAAGTACAGTTTGGGTTGGGTGGTGTGTGTGTTGGGTGGCTGACAAGTTCAATTTTGGATGTGATGTACTTGAGAGCCAGTGAGAAACCCAGGAGACAAAACCCTAGAGCCATTTTTACATATCTGTGAGACCCTCAGGGTTGAACCAGTTGCTGGGCGTCTTCACTGACGGTGGAGGAGAATGGGGGGCAGAGCTAAACGAGGAGAGCATGGAAATGGAGGGATGCAGTGTAGTTTCTCTCCTCAGAGTGATCTAGGTTGTGAAGGGAAAAAGAGAAGATAGGACCATGGCTAGAAGGTAATGCAACACAGGCAAGAGTGTTTTGATTATTTTCACATTAGGAGATATTATCACGCTTATGGAGGAAGAACCAGGGCAGGGAGTGGGAATAGAGAATAGAGAGATGGAGTAAGAGGACATTCAACTCCCAAGAATGCAGCAGGATGAGGTTGACTGCTAAACCTTGCCGGGTGTGGGGATCGAGGCATTGTTCCCAGGGACAGGGAGGTGTGGGTGTAGATCAGGGTCAAGGTATGGACGTGTTGGACAGGAGCCTGAGGTTGGTTCCCACTTGAGAGCCTGTATCTTTCCTCTGAAGCTGGAAAGAAGGTCACTGGGAATTTAAACATGACTGTTAGCCTCCCTCCAGAACACTGAAAGTTGCATCATTAGGCAGAGAGATCCAGGAAAACAGCAAGGAAACATTTGCAATCCAAATGGATGTAGTCCTGCTTCCTACACAATCCGTGTAGGCAACCTGTGTTTAGCAAACCTGGCTCTAGCTATGATTTCACTGTTACACCACCACCCTAGATTAATAGGTGCCAGAACCTCCTTATTTAAATCCAAATATCCTGGGCAAGGTTAGCCTCGAACAAGATAAACAAGCTTTGCATTTCAGATCTCAGATAGAGAACCCAAGTTGAGGTTGGGCCTTAGTCAACGGGTAGAAAGCCAATGGCTGGGCTCCCAGGCTCGTCGTGAACAGAGTGGGAGGATGTTACCTCCAAAGCCACAGATTTTTTTTTTTTTTTTTTTTCCAAATCATGCTGTTCTCTATGCTCAAGAATGGCCAGAGAAAATGTGTCCTGGGCCACTCATGCCATGAGGGTTCCCTTTTGGCTGGATGTTAAGTATTTCTGGGTACACACGTTTGTTTTTCATTTTAAGGTCACCCATGAAAGGGGCTAATATTTACAGACATTTCTGAATTCCATTTGCAACAAGGTTGTCTGTAGGTTGGGGAATATATATGTTTCCTGAAAGGTTATTTTAAAGTTCCTTTATCTAGATCTGTCATAGTCTTTCTGTTTTCATCTTGTAATTTTATTATGCATTTGTTGAGGGATTGATTCACTTCTGGGACTCTGTCTTGTTCACCACACATTCCCAGCCCTAGAGCTAGGCCTTAGAAAGTGCTCAGAAAGTATCGCTTGATCGAAAGGCAAGGACAACTCCTAGCAAGCGTAGGACATCTCCAAGACAGGTGTAATTAAAATTTCATTTGCTTATTTGTTAAGATTCATTTTCTCAGAGCCCTCATTTGAAACTTGACTTCCCACTTCCCACTATATGATCAAAATGTATGGTGTCCCTTTAAAGGTAAAAGAAAAGTTAGAAACCTTCAAGATGATCTAGTTTTCTTATTGCCACTTTCTAAAGAAGCAGTGTAGAAATTAAAATAAAGCCCCATTTCATTGAGAGTTATTTAATCAAGTTGAAAATAACTTTTTTGAGGGAGAATAACGATGGAATGACAAGTGAAGAACACCACTTTGCTTTATGTTACTTTTTGCAGGTTTCCTGCAGTGACAGCTAGTGATTTCTAGAACTCCTTTCAAGGATGCTAATAACTCAGCAGAACTGGTACAAAGGACCAGGAGAATCTTCACCAAAGGCGGAGCTTTTCTAGAAAAACAGCATCATGCATTGCTGAGGGACCTTCGGAGAACGTCACTGTGTTGGTTTGGTTTATCCTTTGATTAACCCCTTTCCTTGGAATTTATGTGTAGCAAATAATCACACAGATGCAAAGACAAGTACTTCAGAATGTTCATCCTTGCATAATTTGGAAGAAGGAAAAATCAGAAATAGTCTCTCTAATACATAACTGTTTTGAAATACAAAACAGAATATTATTCAATCATAAAAGTGCAAATCTACATAGATTAGGCAGGAAAGATACTTATGGAATATTAAGTTTTAAAAATCATAGAACACATATTGTGTGTGTACTTATGTGTGGAAGGCAGAATATTAAATGACCTTCACCTTGGTATAATTTCCTCCCCTTGAATGTGGGTGAAATTTATGAATAGGATGGTGTATCACTCCTGTGATTATGTTACTTTACATGGCAAAGAGGATTTTGCACATGTAGTTAATATAATTAATTTGTGGGCTCTGAGTTAGTTAAAAGGGAGCTAGCAGGGTGGGCCTGATCTAATCAGGTGAGCCCTTTAAATCTGGGTCTAGAGGTTAGGGACAAAGCAAGCTGGAGACTGGAAGCAGCAGAGACATTTTCCTACTGACCCTGTAAAAGATGGAAGCTTCCATGAGTTCTATAGCTTCAAGGAACTGAATCTTTGCAAGAACTTAAATGAGTTTGAAAGAGAGTCCTGGACATCAGATGGGTCACAGCCTCCCCTAACATTTTGATTGCCATTATCTGAGACCCTGCGCAGAGGATGCAGTTAACTTGTGCCCAAACTGCTGACCCAGATAATAAACTTGTGTTGTTTTAGGTTGCTAAGTTTTTGGTAATTTGTTATGCAGCAATAAAAAATGAGGAGTTAGAAGATGGATGACTCTGACTTTTATATTTTTTTCTGCAACGTTTGAAATTTTTATAATAAACATGAACTAATTTCTACTGCCCCCCCCCACACATACACATAAGTGGACTATTTTTTTGTTAAAAGAAAATAAAGCACAGTTAAAAATCTGTCCGGTTTTAAC